GCTCCCCTCCTTCCCCTTTCCCTTTCCCTAAACTATAACTGTAAAAGTAGGATTTAAGACTGATAGGCAATGCAAAAGGGCTAGTCCTTTTTGTATGAAGTTCACATAGTAACAATACCATTGCGAGACCGTGCCCAAATCAATTTCGACTGAAATGACGAGGATGCCTTTGTTGTGCCATCATTTCCAGAGAAAAACTATCGTTCAGCAATGCAAGTCAACTATATATCCTACTTAAAAGATTATACAAAATTTACAGTATAATTCTGACTGCCTTTCTGGACAAACCTACCATATCAAAGAAGACAGGATTCTTAAAAGAATTTCACTTCCCTTACAGCTTGAATCCTAGCTTAAAATTATGCAGAAATAATGACCCCCCATTGAATTGAATGAAATGTCAAAAGAGTCCTCTGCAGCTAAAAGCATTGTAGAGAGTTGTAAAGACCTGAGGAAGCATTGGCGTTCTTTACACAAGCGAGTGTATTGCTTGCTTGATAGGATACACCATCATTTCACTTTCTTAAGGAGAGTGATAGTCATGAACTCTGCATCTTCCCTAACAAAACCCCAGCAGAGGTAAGTAAGAGGGATGTTAGCAACATTCCAAAGAGCATGTGCATCCACAAACCCCCAATATGGTGGGAAGTTATAGACTGCCAACAGCATAGCAAGACTCCTTCCCACAACAAACAGCCAAAGCTTCGAGCGTGATGGATGGCTGGAGACATTGACCCAAACTGCCCAGATGAGAAGTTGAGCTACACCCATGCCCACACAAACTTTCATGTTGAGACCTGCAAAACAATACAATGTCTATGAGAAAAGGATGCCAAATGCCAAATCTATAGTATGGTAATAAATAAGCCAGAATTATCTTGAATCTGTACAGAATCAATTTAAATTTTTGGGTACAAGAGAGGTGCATTCATTCAAGATCTTAAAAACCAAAAGCAAAGTAAAGAAAGATGATGGACCAAATAGTTGAGATTAGAACATTTTCAAACTATTTCATAAAGCAAGTTCACTTTGAATAGTACTAAATGCCAAACTTCTAGTTTGTGGATGAGGGTTTATGGAGATGTCAATTACCATAATCAAGTGCGTAGAAGTTCAGATACAAAATATGTGTTGTGACAAATGCAATGAGTGGAGCTGAAACCATAACCCTTGAAGCCTCATCCCTCATGTTGAAAGCTCGTATGATTGACAGAATTAAACCGAATCCAATTAATGCTGCAAACGATGAACAGTCTAGCTTCTCTGTCAACTCTACATCCCTACATTTAATTCAGAAAATGGCAGACCATATTGAAACACAAAGTCAATAGTATTGGACAAAGATTAGAAGAACAACTCAGCACCTTACAGGGAACTGAATGACATAGTTGACATTGCTGCTGATTTATCTATTCTCAACTCCGAGCGTCCAACAAAAGTCTTAGACCCCCAGTTTCCACAATATCTTTTCTCCTAATTTATCTATTCTCTTGCATTTTGTGCAAGTTGATTCCCAAAGTTCTTTTTCTGCTTAGATCGGCAAAGTTGATTCTCAAAGTGGCAACATCAGAACTTAAGTTCAAGCCTTTTTCTAGAGCTATTCCATAAGTTTAGTATTATAGATGCTTAGAGATTTCTGGTCAGTGCAAAGTCTGCTTACCGACTGTGGAAAACAGCACTCCAGAACCAGCAGTTCATCGCTAGGATGCCATAGATGTGCCACAAGCCAGTGTATTCATAGTAAGTCCTCTTGTTTAGCCTCAAAGGCAACTTATAATACACCAGGATGAAAAAGGACAACCAGCCATGAAATTGCATGGCAAGATTTAGTGCAGAGAGAGCTACAGAAACAGGTTCCTGAAAAAGAATGAACTACAGTTGTGCCAAGACTACCAAACACATAAAGAATCCAAAAGCAGTAAATATGCATCATTTTTTTCCTTTTATAGAAAATACATCAAGTATTGAATTATACTCAGATGTTAATATTATAAATAATAAACCTGAATGCCATAAACACGGCGCAACGGCCATTTCCCATCATATTTGACAGGCTTGTGACCAAGTTTCTCCCTTTCTTCCTCCCTAGCAAGCATACAGTAATATCGGCAATCGCTGTGGCAATCCCATTGCTTCCACTTCTGGTAGAGGGGCTCTTGCCGATACCATGGTCCATCAATAGGTTTTCCATCAGATGAGAATTTACAATGCTGGAAACATTTTCCCCCCACACATCCTGTTTTCTCACATTGCTCTATGCAAGCCCTAACAAAAGAGGAAATCATATTCTTGTTCCGTTTAACTGCTTGTAGAAAGAGGAAATAAGAATTGCACCAAATACTGAAATAAAGCTATTAATTACTCCATTACTTATGTTTTTTTTACCATAATTAGAAATTCATACTAATTTCTTAAAATCATCACTGAATTGAATCAATCCCAGAAAGAGGTTATGAATCTTAAACTTCAAAAACAGCATTCCACTAAATTTCCCTTTAATTAATATATAAACACGAAAAAACTGAATACAATCACTCTGATTTTTCGTTTTTGAAAAAGAAACAATATATATATATATATATATAGCTAAGCTCCAAATCTCATGCAAATACAAACAGAAAATTTTCAACATCAAACAAGAACAGAGAATTGACCGGACTCACCGGTAAACCGGATCGGCGTCACCCTCAGTAGCACAAAGTGAACGTAGGAGACATGAAAGCAAGACGAAGAGCAGAATCCAGCGGCACCAAGCCATTCGATTCGTTGAAAATCCGAGGTCAACAGAGAATTGCTTGGAGATTTCTACAGAATCGAAGGTATCCGATTGTGGTTCGAAACGTGGCGTGGTTGATTCTGTTCCATGGAATCGCGGCGAGAGTTCGATTTGAAGCACCGCGTTAAGTTGGGAACGAACTCAGTGGAAGAAGAAAAGGCGAGTGATGGAGTGAGTGAGATAGAGAATCGTGTTATTATGGTTTTGTGGAAAGTCGTGACCATGACGAGGGAGAGAGGACGAAAATCCATTGGAAACCCTCCACCTCACTGATTATGAAACTTTCAGGCCCTCACCTCTTTGACTTAACAAAAGAGCCCAAAATTGACTGCCAATGGTCATGTGCCTCATGTGCCTCATGTGCTCATTAGGATTCCGTCAACCTTCTCCTTGTTAGCTCCACACAACCTCTTTCTTGCCATCCCAATGTCAATTTGGAAAACAATTAAATGACCACATTAGTGATATCTTCATCTTCAACCAAGGAGAAGAGGGGAATATGGGAAAAGGAAAAGGAGAAGGGGGAAGAGACAATGGAAATGTAGCAGGAAGGAAGAGACTTCTTGGGTGATAGGAAAAGAAAAGGGACATCCACTAAATGTGGAAGATAATCATGGATGAGGGGCAAGAAATGGATGATGGGAGAAAGGAAGAGGTCCTTTTAGTCATTTAATGTTTTTCCACATAGCAACTATGAGATGATATAAATTAAGTTGTGTAGCATGACATAAAAAAGGCTGACAAAATCCTAACGAGCAAGTGATGCACGTGCCCTTTGCCCATCAATCTTAGACTTTTTTTTTAAAAAACCAAATGAGTGAGGGGTTAAATTCTTTATATTATCATGTTGTGTTAATAATTAAAATAACTCGGTAGTCATTCTTTTTATAGAAATAACAAATTTAAAATTTAAATTATATAAAATACTAATATGTAGGTTAAATGATAAAAAAGAGTTATATCTTATTATGCAATTTAATTTTTTTTAAAAATGTTGTAAGAGGAGGGGCTGAAAGTTTTATAGTCAAAAAGGTAGAGGGTTTTCCGTAAATTTTCGTCATTAAGAAGAGAGACTCGTGAAAAAGAAACTATATAGGAGACGACACGTGTATTGTTGATAATATCCAGCACTTAACGTACTAACCTCAAATTTTGATTAAAATCACGTGGGGTAACTGTCAGGGGCTGTTTGGTTGGCCTCTTTTCTGGATTCTTTAATTTTAGTCGGCTGTTTGCACATGCTCAACCTTTAACTTGGGTTATTATTCCGCTTTCAACTTTCTAAAAGCTTTGCTACCGACCAAAATATATATATATATAAAACTTTGCCAATGTCCTGTCTTCGTAAAATAATTACTGTATATTTTTTAAAAATCAACTTAATCTCATTCGGTTTGAATTTATTTTAAAAAATGATAATTATTTTATGAAAAAATGGGTATTATTTTATATTATAAAAATTAAGCAAAAAGAGTTTAAATTAATAAAGTTTTATTGAAAAATTAAAATATCTTAATTTTTTAAAGTAAAAATAAAATTATTTTAATATTTTTATAGTATTTTATTAAAATAATATAATTTTAAGTGTTTTTTTACATAATTTTTTTACACATCTAATTAATAAATACAAATCTCATTATTTTAGCATGAGGGAGTAATTATCTTAGCTCATTTGGTAATATGCATAACTTGAGTCTTTTTCAGCATTCTTGTTTTACAAAATAAACTATTAGATGAGAGATATCTTTAATATCAAAAGGTATGCTCCTACTAATTATTTAAATAACTTAGGAGTAATTGTCTTTTACTAGAAGTAAGAAATCATGAATTCAAGTCGCATACCATGTAAGTGGAGTAACATAAAAAATAAAAAATGATTGCCTCTTATTGTGTAACTAACATAAAAAAAAAAAAAGGCATGCTCCTATTCATTGGCATACATTGTGCCATATAAATTACACAATAATTTTTTATGTTATATCAAGGTTTTGTTTGATAACTTTCAACATATTTAAAAATGCTAACTTCATATTTTTTTTCCTGTTTAAAAATTATTTAAAAAGCTAAATAAGCCATTTACCATATCATCATCACCATCTAATTAATTTTTAAATAAAAAACACAAAATTGTCATTTTTAAATAAAATTAATGTAAAATTATGACTCTTAAATTAAAAAAGTAAAAAATTTATCAGTTTATTTAAAAATGGATAAAAATCACGCCTTTAAATAAAAAAACAAAATTTATATCTTTATTTTCATCTTTTTTTCAAAATCTAACCAATGTAACCAATTGTTTTTAAAGATTTTTATTAGGGTAATAACTTTGTAATCTATAAATAAGAAATTTGAGTCCCTCCTTCCTATCTCTCTCATCACTTCTTCTTTCCCTCTTCTTTTTTCTCACCTCATTCTCTAATAATGAGGAATGATATGTTTACGTGAGAGGAAAAGAAATTTTTTTTTATTTTGGGGGCATTTTTGTAAGCATAAAATGGCATACTTTTGTGAGAAGAGAAGAAATATTTTTGACTTTAGAGGGCAATTTTGTATGTGGCAAATGGTATATCCATGTGAGAAGATGAGAAATTTCTTTGAGTTTAATTGGCATTTAGCAAATTTCATTTTGTTTTGAGGGCCATATTTTAAGGAAGTTCTGGAAAAAAATATTTTTGTTATGTTTTTATCATTCTGTAATATTAATGTATTTTTAGGGTTCACTTAGTATAATCCCATTTTGAACAAAATAGAACCCCTGTTGTAACAAAATTAAATAAATAAACAAATAGAATTCTAATTAATTCAGCCTTAATAATTTTATTGAATGCTCTATATATTCTTATTTTTTTAATAATTTATTCTTTTTACATGTAAGATTTTAATTCACTTATCATCATTGCAGAGCTATGATCATTTTTTTTTTTTTTTTTTTTTTTTTTTTTTCCTTTTTTTTTTCTTAGTTAGCTTTTTTTCTATAAATTTAGAATAATGATTGCTTATAACCAAGTGTAATCATATATATTATTTTTTAAATTAGATTTTGTGTAGATAGTTGATTTTGACATTCCTAAAATACTACTAATTTTTACTTTGTTGCCAGAAAACATGGCTTCAATAATAGGATATAGAATTCTATGTAGCGTTTTTCTCACTGTGCAAAGTTTTCGTTTTTTTCTTTATTTTTTATATTGTAACTGTTACAATATTAAAGAAAATAGGTACCCTCTATTTATTTTTAGTAAAATTAATTAGACATTTTAATTTTTTGACCTTTTAAGTATGAAGTTTTTATGAAAATGTGATATATTATATAAATAATAATTGAAAATTTGATTTATTAAATAAAGATATT